GGGGAAGAAGCCTGCCAACAATTTGGTGTTCCCTGAGGTCCTTCCAGCTGGGTGGCTATGGGGTGCTGTGCAGAGCTCCCCCTGCAGTGGGGCAGGGCAGGGTCACTATCTTCACTGCACAGCTGCATGACCTGAGGCCCAGAGGGATAGTGTGGTTTTGCCCACATTCACGTTAGTGGTACACAAGCTCCCAGGCCCCCCTCTAACCACTAGACAATGCTTCCTGCCTCATTATGTTATTGATATTAATTCAGAATAGTTTTGCAGGCGGGGAGGGCCCAATGGGGAGCGCAGAGGGGGGAGGTGACCAATGGGTGCCGAGCATCTTTCAGAACTGTTGCCCCTTCGCATCTCAACCCTTCGCTCTTCAGCTCCTGCAGCTCCAGAGACCTTTCTAACTCCTCCCTCAACCACACCCCGATGAAACCCAGCAGGAGGTAGATAGGGGTGAATGGGGAGGGGACACACAGGGCAGTCCACACTTCTGTACATCAAGTCAGAGGGCTGCAGAGACAGAGCCTGCGAGACAACCTCCCTGCAGTCCCATCACCTGAGAGAGACCCTGGCAGTCATGGACAGGTAAAATGAGTGCCTCCAGTTTCTTGCTCATATAAGAAATTAGGGTCTTTCTCTTAGAATTAACCTCCTCTCTATTTGGTGCTCACTGTCCCTTTCCCTTTCCCCATCTGACTCAGTGATCTAACTCCCCAGCCCGTCCTGCTCTTGTACCTTGCATCTCTGTGTCTCTGTCATTCTTTCTCTTTGACTGTCTGCCACACTACTCTTTTCCCTTTCTGTCATTTCTCTTTCTCGTGACTATTCTCTGTTCCTTTCTATTCTTTTTCTTTTCTAGAAACAAAAAGAGATAACAGAAAGACGAACATTCAGATGCCATCCGCTGCTTAAGCACCTCAGTCCCTGCCCACTCTTCTCTCCTTATCCACCTATTCTTTCTCTTGCACCAGATTTTTGTCTTACTCTGTTTCTGCTGCTCACACCCTTGTGCTCGTAAGCACAGACTGTTCCAGCATTGGATTCCTCTACTTGCACTGCAATTACTCTGCAAGCTAGTTATTACTAATCACTCTCCACAATTGCACACTCAGGAGACTTCACTCTGATTTGAGGATTGGCTTAATGAATCTTTATTTGAGGAGAAGGTCTATTCTGTTCAGTCTACTTCTTCAGGGCCCGGGTATAATCACAGCTCCTGTGTCCTTGCTGCTTTCCCCTGAGCTATGCTATAGCTATAGGAGTTGCACATGTACCCAGCAGTTTGTACCTAACTGCACATTTGCTCAGTTGCTCCCCGCAACATCTGTTCATTCATTATTCTTCTTCTTGTACCAGCTATGTTCTGAAATCCTCCCTGGCAAAAAAACCCTGGGACGATGAACTGCAGAGAGAAGGGAAAACAGGAACCGATGTTAATGAACATTTCTAGTTGAACAAATGGCTTCTGTGATTCAAAATTGTCCTCACTTTGTCCTGACACTGAAAAATAACCCAAGTGACCATCATTTTATTTTTCTGGGTTTTGGGGTAATTTTTTGTTCTTCATCCTTATTTGCATCCACATGCTGCTCCACAGGGGCAAAAACCACTGAACAGAGAAAAATGGGAAGAACTGAGAAAAGGGACAGTTAGAAGAAGAATCAGAAACATTTTGAAAGCAAATGTTTTTGCCCAAAACTTCGCAAAAAAGAGAAAAGGGAAAGCCTGTTTTCCCTAAAGTTTTTGATGTGTTGAAAAGCATTTTTCCATGTGGGCTTTGATGACACACCAGCATAATTGTCATGTTTTTTTAGCCGGCTTATATGGTTCTTCAAAAGCGATTGCATTTTTCACAATTCCTCTGCTCTGTGTTGTGTTGCGGCACACCCCAGGTAAGAGCTTTGCAAGCCTCTGGCCTATCGTACCTTCTCATTTCCCACGTGATTGTCTGGGCTATCCTCTCTAGACAACCTGAGGATCTGTCACATGTAGAAGGGGTGTCCCCTGTCCAGCCCCTCTGTTTCGGGGAAGAGTCTTCCCTGCAATATCTCTGCAATAGCACACATCTAAGAGGGAGAAGCCTGAGGTGAACCACTGGGTGACAGTTTTGTGAGGGGACCAAAGTGTGTGTGTGTTAGGGAATATACACACATGTTCATAAGTGTTTGTACAAATGCAGGGAAATAGGGTGAATCTAAGGTGGTAGGAAGTGGGGCAGCTCTAAGTGTGAGAAATAAATCAAAACTGATGATGAAGAACATACAATGGGTATGGGAAACATGTACACAACATGAACTGCCAGAGAAAGGGGTGATGAAATGCAGTGGGATCGGTTTGTGCTCTACCCCTGACACAACCTGCAAGCCCAGCAGAGCAGGACTGCAGCAGTGCTTACAGGACAGACCTCCAAGAACTGCCTGAGGCTGTTATTGGGCTGAATAAAAAGCTTAGCAGGGATCCTTTGGCCTCTGAGTGTGTGCAGAACTCTGCAGAGCCTTGTCTTCCCTATGGACTTTCTCCTAGCAGGAGACGTGCCACAACTCCCCTGTGATCTACTTCTCTAGGAGCATGTCTGTATAAAGAGTGACACAGCTGAGTATGTGTGTGCTTGCTCTTTCTGTGTGAGCAGGACAGGTATTTTTGCACTGCAGGGTGAGGGTGACATGGCAGGAAAGAGGATGTGTGCGGGTGGCTTGCCTATCTGTGGGACAATCACGGTAGCAAGGGTGCTTGTGGGAAGAATGTGGCGCTCTGGCGATGCGGTGTGAGGTGCAATAGGGAGTGCTACAGGAGAGCAAAGCACATGCACTCAGTAACAAAAGGCAAGAGGATGTGCATGACTATATATATGAATGAGTACCTATAGTGCAGTGGCCGCATGTGAGAATCACAGAATCATAGGACCGTTTAGGTTGGAAAAGACCTTTAAGATCATCCAGTCCAACCATTAACCTACACTACCAAGTCCACACTAAACCAATCAAGGATAGACTAGACTAAACCATGTCCCAGAGTGCCACATCTACCCATTTTTTGAACGCTTCCAGGGATGGTGACTCCACCACCTCTCTGGGCAGCCTGTTCCAATGCTTGGATGAGGATGAGGATGCACAATGGACAGAAGCTCCTGGAGGAGCAGAGAGGATGCCACTGTTAGTTGGAAATTAAGTGCTCTGCAGTGCTCAGGCTTTATCGTGACATTGGCAAACAGATGAAGCATGTTTGTAAAAGAAACTTTTCGTTGCTTAGACTCTCAAATTTAAATGAGATTTAAATTCCTAACAAACACAAATTCCCCTTTCCTACACCTCACTGGAGATGCCCCAGAAAACCTGGCTCAGTAGCACTTAAACTGACCCCATCTCCCTGCTGAAACAAAGGGAAAAGATGACAAAGGACATGATTATTTTTAACCCATTCACTTCTGTTTTGCATTGCTGTGGGGGAGGTGAGTATCTCACCTCAATGAACACAGCTGTTCTCAGCTGCCTATGTACCGACACTTGGCAGTGAGGCTGTTAGATACGGCTCATGACTACCTTACCCTCCCCATGCCCTTGCTGCCTCTCCCCAGCAGGATCCCTGGGCATGGGAGCAGACCCCCACCAGTCTTGATGTTTGTATAATGTGGGGAATGGTACTTGTGTCTGGAGAGGTGTCAGCATGCCTACCCAATTACGTATTCCGTCAGCTAGTGTATGGCACCTTACCTTACCCTTAGCCCTGCACGCTTTCAACCATGCTCTTCTTTTGGGCAACGGTGAGAAGAAACTCTGTCTGGTCTTCTCTAAAGAGGCTCTAATTTGATCCATCCCTTGCCCCAGTGGCTTTTCAGGGTTTCATACAGCAAAAATAATATTTCTTGATGACTGAACTCCAGACCCTCTCATCTTCCCAGGTCTTCTCAGACACCTTCATCCTTCTCCCTCATTGGTGTCCATCTTTTGGATATTTGCAGATATTTTCACACTGTACCCAGCCATAGTTGCTGTTTGACTAATCACTACTCATTCACTTACTGTTTCCACTCACAAGGTCACCTGCTTCATCCCCACAGTCACGTCTTCACCCTTTCCCTAACACATTGCAGGCAAATTACTGATGCTCTTCTTGTACTGAGAAGCCTGAACATGAGGAGGATATTTTTGGTGCTGAGCCCTCAACAAAGGCGTGGCCAACTGCTGGCTCCAGGGTGGGGCTAATGTAAATTCTCTCTTGTCTTCTCCTGCAGCCTCCTGATGAAGAGGAAACTCTTCCTCTACAACTTCAAGAACCTGCGCTGGGCCAAGGGCCGGCGTGAAACCTACCTCTGCTATGTTGTAAAGCGCCGTGACAGTGCTACATCATGCTCCCTGGACTTCGGATACCTGCGCAATAAGGTATGGGGAACACCTTGGCATCCTGTTCTTATATCCATGCTGCAGTCCATGCAGCTCCAGTTCATCTGGGACAGCAGGGAAAGGAGGGCTGTGACAGCAACGCAGGCACTGGCACATGTGTCCGCAAGCATGGGGATGCAGCCTCCAGCTAAGCCTGTACTTTATGCTACCCCCAAGTGTGTTACCAGCAAGACATCCATACTCCCTGCTGCTTTATCAGTCTACCTACTTTTCTGCTTAGCTCCCACCCATGCCTTTTGTACATCCTTATGCATCAGTGCACTTCTGTGCTTTTCCAGGCAGTCTTCCACTATGTACCACTGTGCCTTCTCCCTCTGTGCTCTGACCCTAGGACCTACCCCCATCTTGTTTCTCCTCCCCTCACACCCCATTCAGCTCACACCTCCCTCCTGACCCCTCTTTAGACCCTGCTCCTCCCTGCCCAAACCTCACACCTTGTCCCTCTCCCTCTTTCACGAAGATGGGCTGTCACGTGGAGGTGCTCTTCCTGCGCTACATCTCAGCCTGGGACCTGGACCCGGGCCGCTGCTACCGTATCACCTGGTTCACCTCCTGGAGCCCCTGTTATGACTGTGCCCGACACGTGGCTGACTTCCTGCGTGCCTACCCCAACCTGACCCTCCGCATCTTCACGGCACGCCTCTACTTCTGTGAGGACCGCAAGGCAGAGCCTGAGGGGCTGAGGCGCCTGCACAGGGCAGGGGCCCAGATTGCCATCATGACCTTCAAAGGTGAGATGTGCACGCGAGAAAGAGCTGATGGAAAGCTATGGGGAGTTAGGGAGACCCAGGAGGGTGGGAGAAGCTAGGACGAGGAGCCAGAGAAGACGATAGCAGGATGTGATGATTTAGTAATCCTGGGAGAGGTCCGTGTCCTCTCTGGGGCAGTCTTGAGCACTCTGTAACTCCCCTGTGCCTTGCACAGATTACTTCTACTGCTGGAACACGTTTGTGGAGAACAGGGAAAAGACATTCAAAGCCTGGGAAGGGCTGCATGAAAATTCTGTCCATCTGTCCAGGAAACTTCGAAGGATCCTCCTGGTGAGGGCCAATTCTCCTTCTCCTTCCGGTGCCTCTTCCCCTGAACTTCTTCCTCTCTTCCTTGCTATAGTTTCTCTCTGCTCTTGCTGCCCATCTCTGCCATCTGCCATTTCATTCATTCCTGTGTCTTCACCTTCCATGTCCCTCATGCCTCTCTCCCCCAGCTTCTTTCATACCTCCTCTCCTCATTCTCTTCCCCTTCTTCCACCTCTCATCCTGTCTCCTGCCATTCCTTCCTCCTTCCCCATCTTCATAGGCTCCTACTCACTTGACAACTGACCTATGGTTTATATTTTGTCCTACAGCCACTGTACGAAGTAGATGATTTACGAGATGCCTTTAAAACTCTTGGACTTTGAAGTGAAAGTCATCAGCAATCAGAAGACTTCACAAACACTTGTTTTTTGATTTCCAACTCTCTCCCTTACATCAGATCTTTATCTTCTTCCCTCTTTACATCTCTCTTCTTTCCAGCCCTGTGTCTAGAGATAAGACTATCCTTACTTTTTCATTTCCAAGGAGAATTACGCTGATCTTCTGAAGACACATTCCCCAGACTCACACCTCATCCATTGCTAGCTGGGAATAGCCAGGACTGCAGTGACATTGCCAGAGAGTGATTTACCCTCCCTTCGTCCCTGCAGAGCTAATTCAGGTGGTCCACTAAATGGGGTTCTGGGTTTAGCCTTGCCCAGGTGGGAGCAGACAGCCTGAAAAGCTGTTTGTGTGACTGTGTTCTCACTGGCACTGCACTGATCTGCACATTTCATGAGGGCTTCAGGGAGCACATCTCTTGGCTCTTAGAGCTGCACTACACTGAGCTGCTCTGTGTCCTTCCCTGTGAAATGGTGTATTTGTCCTTCTGGATGTGGGTAGGAAGATGAAAACCATCACCATTTAAGTGGTATAGCCTGTGTCCCAACAGCATAATTGGCCAGTTACTGGAAACCTTGACTGAGAGTATTTAAGTGAGTCCTGGACAGCCCAGGTAGCTTAGCTTGAAAACCTCACTTGAAGCCAGCAGATCTTCTAAATGGATTGTGTGCAGGTCCAGGCCCTGTAGCGCCTCCTGCCCAGAAAGGAGGAAGCTTCAGTATCTGTGGGTCCAGGTTTTGTGCCCTAGGAGAGGTTGAAACTAGACAATAAAAGCCAAAAATGAAAGCAGAAGACTCACTGGCCAACATTTTCAGGTGCAAACTGCAATTCTGGGTGTCCCGCAAGACATTTCCCATGCAGAAATGGGAAGTCCACTCAACTCTAACTCAACATTAACTATGTTGAGAGCCATGGCAGCCTGAGGTCAGTACCAATCAGTGTGTGGACCTCCCACTCAGCCAGGAAAGGAGCCACCAAGGCACTTCACCACTGCAGTGTTTTTCCAGCATACATCTACTGGAAAACACACTTCATTTCCACATTGTATTGTTCTTCAGACTTAATTTTTCGTTCATGTATGTTGAGGTTGTGTCTTTTTAGATGGTGTATAGGCATCCATATCAGTCACCGTCTATTTCTTGACATAACTCAGGGAGGAGCACCACAGCTCTCACTACTGGAGTACTTTTCATCCACTGAGCCTTTCCTCCTAGATCAGTCCTGCAATGTGCTCCTCCCCAGCCAACTGTCCTCTGCTGGAGGCACCTTAATAATCCCACAGTATTCTGTTTTTTCAGGCCTTTTACTGCCCATAATATGGCTATATATGGCTAGTTGGTGACTGACCTGAGCGCTGACCAGAAAAAACACCTGGCATGAGCAAAGCTACACGGCCTGTAGATAGATATCTTTTGTAAGGGGCAAAATCAAAGCATCCTCCTGCCTGGGAATCACTGTGTTTCCACTAGGGGGCGCCATCAGAACCTGGTCTTGTGGACACAGTCTTTACCAAGTTGAAGATACGGGTTTATAGTACGTGCTTACCACCACCTTCCCACTACCTAAATTACAGATGGATTGTCCTCTGCAGTCTTACCTCTTGAGGCTTTGCCAAGGCTGTGTGTCCCACATTCTGGGGGTGTTCTGTTATTTCCTTCATGATGGCTGCGAGTTCTCTGCTCTATCCTGTTCCTCTTTCTGGGTAAGGCTGGAGGGTTCTGTGTTGCCCCTCAAAACACCTCTGCTGGTGATAGGCCAGCTGCAGGAGGACAGCAGAGAGCCTTGCTCCCACAGTGCCTCCTCCTGCTAGGAGAGGTCACACCTGGGTGCCTCACAAGCACCCTGCAACTTCAGGCTCCTGAGGCACTCAGCTTGTGGAATTTTGACCAGGAATAGCAATGAGAATTTTTTGCAAAGCATTAATTTGCAAGCATGGTGTTGTATATTTGTTTGATATGGTGCATATTATTTATATAAACAAAGGTCTTACAAATGAGCATCTGGTTTTGTCATTATTTTGGTGCCACGTGGGCGAGGGAAGTAAAAGTCGACACAAAGGATTGACGGGTCATCTATCCTTTCTGATTTCTGGCAAGACAACCTGGCACTATCCTATTAAACTGTCTTTATCCTTTTCCTTTGTAACTTTGAAGTTGTTGACAGTGTCACACAGCAGATCAAGGCAGATAAAGTGTTCAGGCAACAGATACTTTGGAAATACTATCAAAAATCTAGGATGCAAATGCTAAAGTTGTTCAAGATGCCTCCTTCATTGATTGCAAGCCTATTGTCCCATTCATGACCTGTAATTGACCAAAGTGGACACAGAAGAAGTGTTGACGCAACATACTTCACAAAACAAGAAGAGAGGCAGAGATGGAAAAAGGATCTCTGTCTTCCAATTTTTGTATTGGCCTGTACAACACTGCTGTCCTTCTGAGTGGAATTGTTGGAGAGCTAAAAAGCAGTTGAGACACTGTCTTTTGCTTAAATGCTGTCAAACACTGAGTTGAAGATACTTGTTGAAACATGACAATTGGTGACATTGGACAATAGGAGAATAAGTGCAATGAGTAAATGCAAAGAAACATATGCTGGATTCAGAATACATCCTAGGTTGCTTTGTCTGAATCTAAAGCAGATTAAATTCAGAATGGACTGTTTAGCTAATTCATGTGATTTAGCTGTAGGAATTTAGCACTCCTGCTATAGACATCCTTTTTCACTGCACTTTTTCTTTGTCAAATACCAATTCATATTATTTGTTACAAAGTATTCTTTGAATTGGCATTATTAATTAATTCAACCTCAAATGCATTAGGTGTCTCTGCCAAGAGTAACTCCCTGGATGATGACTGTTACGTAGTAATATTACTTTTTCAACCTACGGTTTTTTTTACTTACTTTGTAGACTGTGTATATAGGGAACATTTCACTACTTCTTATATACTCTTGAGTAGCACTTAACGTTTACAGCCTATCCCTTATGGAGATGGGCCTATGGTGCTAGCTGGAAACCCCAGTCTCACTTGGTACAACATCCCATGGCTTGCAGCGATGAATAAGGCACAGGCGCATCTGAATAACTGTACAGCTGCTGCCCCGAGCCATGCTTTCCACAAGTGTGCCCGCTTCACTGTTCTCTTGTTACTCACACCCACAGCTACTCACAACTACAGCCACAGTTAATGACAGGATATAAATGATTCCCAGAAAATCTGGCACAAAGGTGAGTTCTCACCAGGCTTTCCCCCGTGACTGGGTGTGTAATGTTTTGGGTGCTTTTTGCATGCTGAAACTTTATACACCGTTACCATAAGCACACCCTCAAGAGGTCCAGGGGGCAGCTGAAAACCATCCTGCCCATGGGCTGGGGTAGCTCCTTCATCCTCACTGAACGTCATCCTGCGTGTCTCTGCACGCAGCCACCTGCATGACCTTTTGTCAGTCGGACCCTCGGGATGCATCCAGTCTTATGACATGTGCACGTTACCACCCCAAGGGCTGGGATACAGAGACCATCCACTCTGTGAAAGCGCCAACTCTGCAGCAGAGCGAGGCACAGGATCAGTCTTTGATAACGGAAGAAAGAGGATAAACAGGGGATGGGATGGTTATTGGTACAGTGTGGAAAAACAGGCATGGCTGCCATCTCCTGGTGCACGGGGGTGTTTGGCACCCTTTATGAGGGTGTTGGATGAAAGGTGGTTGTTCCCCACTGCAAACGGCTCCCAGAGTCCAGCTCTCAACAACCCCCAGAACATGCCCATTGAAAAGCAGGACACTGACATCATTCCCACAGCTGCACACAACAATACTCCAGGTCAGTACACAGTGTCCTTGGACATCGCATTGCAATAATAAGAAACAGATTACCATTAAACAATGCAAAGACACGCTCCGGGCCCTTACAAATACAAGGGGGATTTTCAAAGCATGTCTCCCCCCCGCTTGCTCTCTCTCCCTCTCCCACACGCTGGTACTTGAAAACCAGGACAGAAAGGGGCTCCAGGGTCATGGAGTCCAGTCCCCTGTTACTTGCCCCTTCTGGGGTTTTTAGCCTATATGTATTCATGTCCAACATTGTCCTCTAGCTTGAGTAGTTTTTTCTTCCCTCCCTGATGCTGGCCCTTTGCTGTTTCTATGAGCAGAAATTTCATTATTTAGTCACGTATGTATTAAATACTCATGGCAATGGAGATCAGATTTGGTTCACAGAAGAAACATGGAGGGGTTTGGCACAGAAGAGACCATTTGTTCTGACAATGCCAGCAGGGATAAGCAGAGCCTCTGAAGGGGAAGGAGAAAGTGGGCTGCTGCAAGAGTGGAGGTCAGAGCAGAAGGGTAGGTGCCACAGTATGGCAAGTATTTTGAAGGCTGCCTTTGGCTTTTAAATCTCTCATACACTTTTGTGATAGGCAGGTTTCCCTTCAGGCTTCCAAACCTGCGTAAGATATAGCTAAAACACCATTGCTGCTGCTGCTGTTGTCATTATTATTATGATTAAGCATACCAGTTGAAGGACTGATGTGACTTTCGAAGGTGTGGGGCTAATACTGAGAGAGGTAATCTTCCTGCCTACAAGGGGCCTGTCTCCTCACATGGGTGAGTGCCGGTGGCACCCAAGTTCCAGGGCAGGGAGGATGTTGATGTCTCCATGCTATAACCTTGTTATTAATCACAGTTAAGAACTAGCTTACTCTACAAGCTGGAACAATGTTTTTACCAGTCCAGAGGGACAGAAGATGAGAGTAGACCAGCTCTCTTCTGTGGTTACCTCTATAGGCTAGCAGTATGGTAGACTGGCTTACACACCAGTAGGAGCACAGCAGGGATACAGCAGATTGCAAGTTCACTCTGGCAGCTAAAACTGATGTAAAAAAAAAAAATTCACTGGGCTGACTTTGAACTGGCAAGCTTCCAAATGGACCAGAGAAAGTTTGCCCTCCTGCCTTCAGTGGGAAAGGGCTGAGCCTTTCATGAAGAACCCTGCAGTTTGGCTAATTCATAAAAATGAGTTTGTGTACTTCAGTTAATCCAGGCACTTCTGTGCAGCTGAATGACTTTGTAACGCCCAGAGCTGACACTAGTGGTAGCAGAACTGTGACCCATGACAGGGATAGGGGTGCCAAAGATCTCTGCCTCATTACGACCCGGTGCTCAGCTGTAGCAAAAGACTATCCCCATCCAAATGTGACTGGAGGGGTACGGGCACCAGCCTGTGACACTGTTCACTTCAGAGTCCAGGCCTCACTAGGAGTGGAGCGGCTCACGCTGCCCTGTTCATCATTTCTGCTTTGTCACGTGTCCTCTTGCTCCCTTAGTGATAGTCCTACACATTTCAGGACCATCACCACTGCAAAGTTCTTACCTAATGGACTAGGATTGCTGCTGAGCAAATGGGCACATCTCTGGTTCACCCCTCTGACCCAGACTCACTTGTACTGGGGCAGGGCCACAGGACCCTGATCACACTCCAGCTGGAGTTGTTACAGTCTCCATAAAATGCTGTCTCTGCTTTCAGCTGTCTCCAAGGTCCTGCTTCATTTCCTCTCCCAGAACAGCAGGGCAGCTGCTTACACTTCAGAAAGGGCTATTGAATAGTCAGAAACCACATTTGGCCTGGGAAGATCTGAAGAGAAGTGGAGCCTGGGAGTATGTCAGGCGAGAAGTATTACATCTTCTCACTTTGTTGTTCTCTTCCCTAGTATTTCACTTTCAGGAGCCTGTTGTTGCTGTGTTTCTCTTTTGGGACATCCAGCAAGACTGATTGCCTCACTGAGAAGGAGGAGCAGACAAACAAGAAGTTGGGCAGAAAACCAGATAATTACAGGGGACAACAAATGAAAACATTTGTTTGGGGAGTAAGAGTTAGAGAGTCAAGACTGTAACTGAAGAGCTGAAAAGGGACATAAAACAGCACATGCCTGTGCAGGCACCCACTGCTCCCTGAGGAGCCAGCGGACACTTGCCAATATTGCTTAGAGATAGGATGATGGAACAGCAGTAGGCCCAACAGCTTCCAGGATGCGTGTCCAAAAATCATCAGGTTGCATACCCATCTCATAGTCTTGCTAGTGCTGACGTACTCTTATTAATCCCCAAGGCATTCCACATAACCTGAAGAGAACCACACCTACTGCACCACATGTCTGAGAGAAGCTGCACTGGATAATGCTGCAGAGACCCGTGTTAAATGAAACTGAGGAGCCTAGCGGGATCTCATTTTCTTCCTCCTTCATCAATCATTTTGCCCTCTGTTGTTCTGCTGTATATCCTGATTTCTCCCTTGCTTTTCTCCCTTGGCCACCACCCCATCCTCATCCAAGGCTCTCTGGCCTGGGGCTAAACAGATGAGTATTAGGCGAAGTTCAAAGCAAGAATAGTGATCCTCTTGGTGTGCCAGGAATAACCCCTCTGTCCTGCAGTAAAGGCACTGTCCTCTACCTTCCCTGCAGGAAAACTACTTCATGGTAATGTTCACTGAGATGGGCCTTGAACGGTCCAGAACAAAATTGGAGGATTCACAGCAGGGTCACAGCAGGGTCTGTACTCACCCTCAGATGATACTGCAGGAAAAAGCAATTAATTTGGAGCAGGTCACAATATTGCTGTTATAGGATTAAGATCAACTTTAGACTGGTATATATTATTCCTTACTGGACTACTGGTCCTTTCTCATGTAGAACACTGTGGTTGCCACAGCCCTAGCTTCTGGACCATCTAATCCCCTTCACCTAGTGCTACTTACAGAAGGCTCCTGTTGTCTTTCTTGGGTCTTCTCAAACAAATTCTCTCCCATCAACACACCTTCCCCTCCTAATTCAAATTCACATCTTGTCTAACCTCCAGGCAATGTCATCCTCCTACTCCAAAGACCTGAGCCACCCAACCTGCCATCTTCCTCCAGAGAGTTGGCATTTTAGGTACACTGAGCTCCAACCTTGCCAAGGTCAAAGTCTGACTGCATATTTAGTCTGAGGTACAGAAACATAGCGACACCTGCCAGCATTTTTAGATTATTTCATGTGAAATATCAATGTGTCAGTAATTTCCACACTGCTATGGGCAAAGCCTTCTCTGTGTGATGCTAAGCTGTGAGCAAGAGTCTATGATACTTAAGTATTTATGGCAAGAGACATGGATCATCTTCAGGTCTTGCAGATTTTCTTAAGACTTAGGGTTTCCATTTTATGCTCGCCATGGATGCTACACGTTATTGTATAGCTTTGTGCTATTGTACTTTCTAGATTCTCAGATGGGACAGCTAACTTCTGTAGCATAATGACATTTCAAAGCAAGACAGAAATGAGGATGTTTGAAGATATATATACGTTGATCAGGCTCAATCCAGTTGCCACATTCCACAGCAGACCAGTAACTTACAAATTACGTTGCTGAATAGTTATGGACCCCAGTGTACTCAACTACATGTTGATCAAGTGGTTTGATTTCTCCCTAAGGAAACAGTTAACACTAGAATGGCCAGAAAGAAGACATGTGACATCCAGCCTAAGGACCTGGACAGGAGGAAGAAAACTTTAGCCATACTATACATTGCTTGGAGTAATTTTACTTGGTTAATGCAGGAGACACTCCCCAGACAGCTGCGCTCAGCTTTAGATACTCTCTCAGACAGCAGGGGCTGGAGCTCCTTCCTCAGCCTGCAACTTTTCTGCCTGTCTTGATTGTCTGCTAAACAACTGGAGATTTTGGTGTGGCCAAAGGATGCTATAAGCATTAATCAGCTAGAAGAGATACGCATGGTTCCCACCATCCCCTGCCTTATTCTTCAAATAATCGTTTGTGCCTGCATGTTGCAGATCCCAGCAGCAGCACGTTTCCCCAGTGGGATCACACAATGGGCCTCCTGCTTGGAGAGGTTGGGAATCATGAAACATGGAGCTCCCAGCATGATTCATTCAGATGTCTTGCATTATTTGCAGTGCAAACTGAAAACTGCTGCAAGGCCCAACACACCTGTATCTTCTTTTTGACTTCTGCCCGTAGAGATAGCTCAGAGCTTTCAATATCTCCTACCTCACCATTCCACTCTGTGCTTCCAGCTGGAAAAGCAGAGATTTTTTACTGTGTTCCCCCAGTTTGCAATGAACAGCTGTGACTCCAGAGCGTGGGGGAAGGATGTGTGCCCAGGAACTGAACAAGAAAAGCAAAGTTTCCACAGAGCTGATATTTTCCTTTTTATTCTGTTGTTTCTACAGTCATAAAACCAGGAAGACTAAAACCTTAAAATGAAGCAATATAATCCTTAGTAATATAAGTGTATTATATTGTAATAAAAGCAGTAATATAAAAATAATATTACATAAATACTAATAGCATGAGGTATTTTCTGAAACATACACACATAGCCATAAAAGTGATCTTCATAAGAAATTCTCAAAACCAGAATGCATTGCCCTGATTATTTCTTTGGAACAGATCAGAGCAGGAAAATTGTTCCTCATTGGCATCCCAAGAGTGTACTCGCAGTATCTGATTGCAGAATCAGCAGACATGAAAGGCCTGATCCTGGGGCCCACTGGATCTCAGGAAGCCTTGAAAGGCCCAGAGCACTGTGTTCTGGCTGCATCATCCAAACTTCCTGATGGTTTCTCATGTGCTCCTTCTGCTGTGTCCAATACTTAGCAATGCCTAGCCAGTGATATGAGTCTTCTCTGGTGACAGTATGAAACTCACAGTTCAAGGCTGTCATGAGGAAGACTGCCAGGGACTGGCTTTTCCAGTCCTATAAATAATGTCATGATGCACAAAGTGAGCTTGAAAGCATGCTGCTGATGCTTGTTAGAATTCAAAGTTTGCCAGGAATGGAGGAAGCCCCTAGCAGGAAGAAAGAAACATGAACATTAAAAATTAGATGCCAAAAGCTGAAGTTGTCCTGTTCCCTCAGCTTCTCCTGGTAGGGAAAATGCTCCAGCACCCTGACCATTGCAGTGGTACTCCACCAAACCCTCTCCAGTTTCTCAGTGTCTTTCTTGTGCCAGGGAGGCCAGGACTTGACAAAATGGTCTGTATTTCTCTGGAGCACGTGCCTGGAATGAACTCTCCTAATCACACCTCTGTGCTCAGGGGGTCTTGGTCTGCCCCAAGAATTGTGTCAGCTGGCAATGGTCAATGAGACTTATCTGAACACGCACAATTACTACAATGAGGCTGGGTGTTCACAAGGGCTGAGCACACAGACCTTCTCATTCCATCTGTGGAGGGTTGGTGGTTAGTCAGCACTACTGATAATGGGCCCTATTCACCTTCATTTTAGGGGTGGCTTGAGTTTGGCTGAGACAGCAAAGCAGTTGAGCAAGTGCCTGACTTTCAGCATGAGTGTCCCAGTGCAAGCTTCCTAGCCACCAGGACTCTGCAATAATCAACAAGGTTGCCAGGGGCACAGGAAGGGACAAGTCATTTGTTAGCTGGCTCTTTAAAACCAAGACCTGAAGGGCATATATGCCTTGTGCTGCTGCCCAGGGAACTGTGCTGGGTTGGCTGTAGTTTGTTGGTACTCACAAGCATTTAGCAGACAGCTCTGTTCAGCTCACCGGTAAGCATCAGACTATGCATTTGATTGTGCATAAGCTGCTAAATTATTTAATCATCTCCGACATTAGGATACTCAGGAAGGCTGAAAGCCAAGGGAAAAATATCTCCTAAACAGTTACATTGCATTAGCTACTTTGTTAGATCAGCTGACTGACTAGATAATGCCACTGACTGTGTATCGTGTCACCTGAATGTCTTATTCAGACAGTTAGAATTAGAAAGGTCAGGTCCTGAGGTATTAAAAGACCTATGTAAATTTGGGGTGGATGGAACTGAAATGAAGTCTAATGTGTACCTTTTCCTCAGTCAGAAATAAAACAAGGCATTTATATCATCCTACAAACAGGTTAGTTTTCCTCCTTCTAGATTTTAAATTCCTGTCGGTATTATGTAGTTCTGTGCATCCCTTCCTCTACCTCCTGCCATCCATTCTGTTAGCCCCTATTCTACATATAGGGACCAGTTCAAGTAAGAACTGGCTTTCCCTACAAAGGGTGGCTGCACCAGGAAGTTAACACCAGTCCTGGTCTTCTCCCCTGTTCAGCAGACCACCTTCTATTTCTTGTGTAGTAGGATATCAGGTGATACAAATAACTTTTGCAATTGTATGGATTGTGAGAAACAGGGAATGCAGATCTCAGTCATATGGTACACTTATGTGTAAGCTCTGATCCTGAAAGTGAATCCACCCATCTGGGCTTTTGAACTTGCTCAGAACTTAACTAAAATCCTGAGAGGATTTTAGTCCTGAGAGGCAAAAAGAGTGTACTTGAATCATGTTTACACAGCTGAATGAGCTTTTGGGATCAAATAGCTCCAGTAAGCTGCAAGCTAATGAACTTGTAGCTTACCCATGTAAAGGGTTGAAATAATTTACCCTTTCTTTAGTAAAAAAAAAAAAAAAAGACTATTGCTAAATCTATTCTCTACTCCTGGCCACAAAGGCGCAATGTAGTAGCGTAGTCCTTGGCAATCTCTTGCCCACCTGGCCCTCTGTTCATGCAGCATCAAGCCCATGCTTATTTTCCTGTTATTGTTTCTGCTAACGCCATTGCCAGGATCCTCCAAACCTCCTTTTCCTAGGATTTTGCATTACTTTTCACTCTCAGCATTTTCTTCAAGTGCCTACTAACCAAATAGATATGACGGAGCTCTATCCAATTCAGAAAGATGTATGGACAGAAGTCCCAGGGCCAATAATCATCTTCTCCATGTTGGTGTGCAACAAATCTTTTCCAGCAGTAACTGTAATCTGAGAAGAGAGATATCCAGTCACTCTTGATGAAAGGCATGCCCAGTTCTTTCTCCATGAATGTCAGTAAGTCACTTCTTTCTCAGTAAGACAATGGTAAAGGGCAGGAGAAAGATATTCATCTGAGGGTATTCATGCAAGGGACCAACAATGACTTGCAACTACACAAATAAGTTAGTGGAAAGGGGAACCAAAACTCTACAAATAGCAATATGTCTAAAAAAGGGAATTGCCAGAGAGAAAGAGATCACTACGGTGGCTTGGGCAACCCCTATCACAGATAGCACATCAGGACATAAAGCCAGAGCATGTTGGCCAAGGGACAAGGAATCAGTGAGTGGCAGGCTGCTTCTTTGGAGGGACTGTAAAGGGAAGTGGCACATGTAATCAGGGCTGTTCAGGCATACATTTTGGTGGCCCTGTGCTTGATCACAGCAGCTTTGGGTAAGACAATAAATATGTTGCTTCAGTCATGAATCTGTCTGACTTCTCTCAACAATCAGGGAAAACCTGGAGTGAACACCCTAATATTTAGCATTTTCATATTGATCTTAGTGTTGATAGGATAGCCAGAGCTTCTGTCAGTGCTCTGGTGGTATAATCCCAGAGACAGGTTCCCCAAGATAAGCAATGTCCTTTAAGTTTGCATTTGACCTGGTAGGTTTTGTAGATGCACACTCCAGTAGTAAGTATCCAGACAGGTATGTGCAATTCATCTCTTTAAATGTACATTCCTTTCTGTGAGCTACTTGTCTGGACTATTTTTACAACAACATCAACAGGCAAGCAAGATATACTCACAAAAAGACACACATACAAGACACAATTGTCCTCTGTGATGCATCATCTGAAAGTCTGCTTTAGATATGTCTCCTCCTCTTCTATAGCTATCACAGGAAACCAATTGCTTGCTGCAGCTGGCAAGCTGATCTGCATATATATGCTAGGATGGGCAGGTTCTATCTTACGCTCAGGATTTTTCACTGTATATAAAGGAGGCATGGATGGCTAGAGAAAGACATAAATCTCCTTGTTCAGATTTGGCAAGAGGAAATGACCATGCTGGTCCTGCTGCTGTATGGGATTGGGGAAGAAATAAGGCAGAACAGAATAGCATTTTTACACTCACTAGTCCTCACAAATGCCAGTCATCACCACTATTACAAAGCACAACTGCTGAGAGTGCACATAATCCCAGAACTTTCAATCCACACCTAGACAAAGCCAAAGAGTAGTTGGGTTACCTGCAAGATTCATGATACGTATAATGACTCCATTCATTGCCAGGTTCCTGAGACCTTGCTGGTTACGGATATCCAGGTGCTTGAAGAGCTTGGCTGCATAGATTTCCAAGGTCACATTGGGATGTACCCTCAGGAACTCCAGAATTCTTCTGGAGCATTTCCCACAGGGGGTAGTAGATAGCACCCAGGTGATGGAGCAAGAAACTGATGGCCTGGCCTTGAAACAATTTTCCAAGAAGTTGACTTCAGCATGTTGTTTAGAATTGTTTGAGCACCAGCTCCTCCAGATGGTACCTCTGCTCCACCTGATTTCATACAGCAGGTATACCACCTTTGGATGTTGGCCAGGCAAATAATTTCTTTTGAAGTCTTCTGGCTGTAACTTCCACCTGCAACAGAAGTACCAGCAGTACTATGATCCCAGCACTTCAATGACGTTTTGTCCCATTGTGCATTGCCTGCTCTCAACATCAGCCAAGCCTCTCACTCTCGGCCTTTCCCATCACAAATGAGCAGCTTGAAGAATGTTGCAATCTAATGATCTAAATTTGGAATTTGGTGAAGGCTCCAGAACTATTACCCTAGAGTGGCCCTGGTGAAACACCCAGGTGTTTCCTTGGGAGGTGTTGGGAGGATAAGCAACCCCATCACCACTCTGAGATCAGCGCTGGTGAAAACAGTGAGGCAACTGGAAAGGAAGATTGCGGAAAGGGGTGATAAGAGGAAAACAAGGCACGAGGCTTCTTAGCTTTACCCGTCTCTGGAAATTGTCATGGGCTCCAGGCAGCATGCAGTGATGGAACTATCTCTCTTACCTTCTGTGTGCAGGATCTATATAGAAAAGATTTGTGAGTCATTGAGGATAGCAGATCAGAAAATAAAATTTACTCTACATCTCCCTTCCTGGCCCCTTTCAGTCTATACACTCCCTGCCAAATGTCTTTTATCTAAAAGGGCTTCATAAGTAATCCCTGCACAGCAGGATAGCCACTTTGGGATGCAGGAGTGATGAGTTTCTACCTGGGAGCTAAATTTGATGGTAGTTTAAGCTATGCTGTACATGAAGCCTTGCTCACTTTAACACAACAGGGTTGACTGATCTCACTCAAGTTTAACCTCACTGATTTCAGCAGTACTGCCTCTGCTTTTCCCTGACTAATCAAAGAGCAGGATCAGATCTCTTCTCCCTTTGTAGCTTCCAAACCACTGCTACCAGGCAAAACTTGAGCTATTTTCCTGTTGGTACTCATAATGTCAATCTAGACAAAAACATTTTCACAGCCAACAGTTCTTTCTTTTCTTAGTATGAAACTGTTTACAAAGCTGAAAAAATATCAGTGCCAAGGAAAAAATATCAGTGTAGAAAGGAGGGTGATTTCTGACTAACAAATACCTATGGAGTGGCACCACAGACCTGCCTGATTATATACATTTTGTGTCTTGTGGTGGCAAAGAAGTTTGACCCTATGACTCATTCATCCCTTTCCAGCTGAGGGTCTAGATGAAAACAGTTGCAGGTGATCAAGGCTAGTTATTTATTTTGTGAAAGTCCACATAGCAAACTTCAGGATCTAAGAAACTTCATTTTACTGAAGAAAAGAATTAATTTGCTTAGACTTGAGATACTAAAGGCACTTCTCCATAGCTCTTAGTTCTTTAAGATGAGGAATTATGAAATACACAGAGTGAAATTGCATTTCAGCAGG